CCTGCTAAGTATCTGGGATTACAGAATTATGCCACCACGTCCAGCTAATTTAGTATTTCTTAAGTAGAGATGGGGTTTCACCATGTTGGTCAGGCTGGTCTCTAACTCCTGACATCATGATCCGCCCACCTCAGCCTCCCAAAGTGCTGGGATTACAGGTATGAGCCACCGCGCATGGCTTATAATACTTATTAATGTAATATTTTGCATTCTTCTTTTCTCAAAGACTTCTAAATATAGCATATATTTTACACTTACAGTGTATCTTACTTTAGACACTAGATTTTCAACAGTTGAAGTGAGCAAGGTAGCCCTACCAAAACAATAAAGTTGTGTTTATGGAAAAATATTGTACATTGTTCTAGTTTTAAAATTAGAATTTAGATTTATTAAAAAGAATCTAAAATTCAGTTTTTCAGTCACACTAGCTACATTGCAGGTGCTCAATAGCCATATATGCCTAGTGGCCACCGTATGGGACTGTGCAGTTCTAGAAAGTTGCCTGTGGGACAGGAAAAGAAAGATGGAGATAAGAGATATTCTCAGTTTGCAGTAGAAAAACCAGTACTGTTTGTGTGAGATTTGACTTAAATAGATTTCTATCGCTTTTTAAAAACCTAACTACCTTATTCTGAATTTAAAATATGAGTTCTAATGTGAATCGTCCCCTTTGTGTTTAGCTTGGCTGTTGGGCTTCTTGGGTTCAAAGGCCATCTCCACCATTTTCTAGCTGTGTGACTTCGACAAGTAACTTTAACCTCTAAGCTTCACTTTTACCATCTAAAAACAGGGAAAATAATAGTGTCCCTCATATTATTGTGAAGATTAAGTGAGATAATACATAAAAAACATGTTGTAGAATGATTAACAGCTTTTAGAAAACAAGTGATGGCTTTTATAAAGTCAAGCTGGCTGGGCGCAGTGGCTCATGCCTTTAATCTTAGCACTTTGCGAGGCAGGCGGATCACGAGGTCAAGAGATCAAGACCATCTCAACATGGTGAAACCCCATCCCTACTAAAAATACAAAAATTAGATGGGTATGGTGGTGTGTGCCTATAGCTTTATGGGAGGCTGAGGCAGGAGAATCACTTGAACTTGGGAGGCGGAGGTTGCAGTGAGCTGAGATCATGCCATTACACACCAGCTTGGTGACAGAGCGTGACTCTGTATCAAAAAATAAAAATAAAAGTCAAACCACTCTCTGGATGGAGACTGTCTGTAGTTTCTTTTTTATTTTTAAAAGTACATTTTTTTTAACCTGTTTAAAAATTACACATCGATTCAATAAATCAACTGTCTCTCAGCACCAGGTAGTCAGCTAGAACAAAAGATGAACACAGTCCCCACCTTCAATCACCTCACATTGCCTAGTGTTAGAAACAAAACAATGTTGGACTAATGTACAAATGAGAAAAGCAAAAACAAGAAAATAACAAAATTTTCCATCAATCCCAAAGAAAAGAAATCCCATAGGTAAAAACTGAGTTTATGAATTGGAAATCTTGTAGTTTTGCATAGTCCTCTAGCTTCCTTTAAAGTAAATATCCACAATTAAATTAGTTAAGATTTATGAAATTAGGTTGACATGGATTTGAATTCTTAATGATTAGCAGTAGGCTTTATTTCTGCCACATAGAAGACACTGCTTGGTTTTCCTCTTGCACTGATTGTCTGTTCCTGAGCCGTGTTTGCTTTTTCATTCAGCAGTTTGTATCTGATTTTTTTAAAAAGGTGGAGAAGTCAGTCCATTTAATCAAACGTCTGAAATACAGAATATTTTTTATGTTATTACTGTTAAGAGAAACTAAATATAGATAAAATAATAATTGAAATAAATAAAATTATATTTATACCACAACTTTTCTTCTTGATATAAAAAAAAAGATATTTTGGGTGAATAAGATATCTTTTTTTAAAATCTAGTGATTAAAACATTATTAAAAGAAACATAATTTCTTAAAATTCTTGTTTTTAAAAGCTGTTTCTGCCCAAGCAAAAACCTATCCATTCAGGATGTTAACATTAAGATTATGGGCTTTTACTCTTTTAAATTTCTTTTTTTTGTGGGGGGACTGAGTCTCTATCTGTTGCCCAGGTTGGAGTGCAATGGCAAGATCTCGGATCACTGCAACCTCCACCTCCTAGGTTCAAGAGATTCTCCTGCCTCAGTCTCCCAAGTAGAGCTGGGATTACAGGCACATGCCACCATGCCTGGCTAATTTTTGTATTTTTAGTAGAGATGAGGTTTCACCATGTTGATCAGGCTGGTCTCAAACCCCTGGATCTGGTGATCTGCTGGCCTTGGCCTCCCAAAGTGCTGGGATAACAGGCGTGAGCCACAGCATCTGGTCTTACTCTCTTAAATTTCTGACAAAATTTAAAACAAACAAAAAATAAAATAAAAATTCTATACCTGCTATTGGTTTATTTGCAAGTTTTTAATCTGTGCTATACTGAATCCTAAGATTTGGTCGTAAGACCTACATACATCATAATATGCTATAGTAAATAAGAGTCCAATTAACTTTCACATTACTTCAGGTGTAATAAGATGAAATCTTTCACATAATTTGTAGTAACATGAAGTCTGTATTAGTAACAAAATTTTCCTACTGTTAAAAATATATATACCTTTTTCCATATGTCAGCAATTTAAAATATAAGTATTTGGGAGCAACTTTTTCAATTTAAGAAGTCAAAATTTAAGTATGGTATATATATAATTTTTTGTCATTCTTTGCATTTGAAGCTCTATCTTAATGAGACCCTAATATTTGAAATTTTGTTGCTGAATAGCCATCAAGGGATCGAAATTATTGTAAAATACTGAGTTATCTTGAAATAAATTTCTTTAAGTTCTATGCTGTATTGAGAAATGGCAGAGCTTGGGACTCTATCTAGATGGATGTAGGAGGCAGCACATATCTACCGGTCACTGTCTCCACATTATACAAGTTAAGGGGAATATTGGGAACATTCTTAAGGGAGAAAGAAGTGACAAGAAAACAGGTACAGATCAGGAAATGTACGTGGAGGCCTGGGAATTATTGAGTGTGGAAATTTGTTGCTTTTCAGCCACACTGTTCTCCTCTGATGCATTACCTTACACCTATAGTGTGCATCTTGGTAGGGCCCTGTTAGTAAACAAAATGCTCAGCTAGGCATGGTGGCTGACACCTATAATCCCAGCACTTTGGGAGGCCGAGGCGGGTGGATGACTTGATATCAGGAGTTCAAGATCAGCCTGGACAACATGGTGAAACCCTGTATCTACTAAAAATACAAAAATTAGCTGGCTATGGTGGTGCTTATCTATAATCCCAGCCACCCAGGAGGCTGAGGCATGAAAATCACTCAAACCCAGGAGATGGAGGTTGCCGTGAGCCGAGATTGTGCCACTGCACTCCAGTCTGGGCAACAGAGCGAGATTCTGTCTCAAAAAAAAAAAAAAAAAAAAAAACAAAAAAACAGAAGAAAAAAAAAGTAAATAAACAGAATGCTCAAGGGCTAAGCTGGCTTTGGTAGCAGAGTAAGAGAAGGGTGGACAGAAGAGTGGGCACCTCAATTCTATCAGCAAGGCCCCAGGCCACCTGTGATACTCAGTGCGTGCGCGCGCGCGCGCACACACACACACACACACACACACACACACACACACACAGCATTAGCTTTATGAAGGAGGCAACAGAAGACACAATGGCCTTAAAGTTGCATTCAACTCTTTCTGTGCTACTGGGTGTTGTTATCATGGCTGAGAGAAGTTTCATTCTATAGCAATGCACTGCAGAGCTGGTGTTTCAAAGAAACTCAGGATACAGTAGGCCAGGGCCACCCCAAACAGCTGTGCAGATTATGAATTGCACATGAACTACAACGTGGATGGTGTGTACAAGCTACATAACTGTGCTTGATAGTCCTGCAGGCACTCTATGAATATCTGTATCATTTTGCTATGAAAAAAGAGGTCTTGATTGTACTGGCTGATCTAAAAAGTAGGTTGGGAAAGAGCATGATAAGGTTGCAAAGAAGAGTGGGAATGAGAGGAATCACTATGGTAGCACAGCACATAATTCTCTTCTGGTGCCTCACCTGAAGTTCCCTCCCCTCTTTCCTGTGCTGATGTTATCTTTTGACCCATGATGGATTCTAGAGCAGAAACCACAACAAACCCTTAACATTTCATTCCACTTATATTGTTACTGCAGTAGAATAAGATTTAATGTTGAAAGATCCCACTTATTGCCGGGCACGGTGGCTCACGCCTGTAATCCCAGCACTTTGGGAGGCCGAGGCGGGTGGATCAAAAGGTCAAGAGATCGAGACCATCCTGGTCAACATGGTGAAACCCCGTCTCTACTAAAAATACAAAAAATTAGCTTGGCATGGTGGCGCGTGCCTGTAATCCCAGCTACTCAGGAGGCTGAGGTAGGAGAATTGCCTGAACTCAAGAGGCGGAGGTTGCAGTGAGCCAAGATTGCGCCATTGCACTCCAGCCTGGGTAACAGGAGCGAAACTCTGTCTCAAAAAAAAAAAAAAAAAAATCCCACTTATTGCCAGGCACGGTGGCTCATGCCTGTAATCCCAGCACTTTGGGAGGCCAAGGCAATCGGATTATGAGGTCAGGAGTTCAAGACCAGCCTGACCCACATGGTGAAACACCATCTCTACTAAAAATACAAAAATTAGCTGGGCATGGTTGTATATGCATATAATGCTAGCTACTCAGGAGGCTGAGGCAGGAGAACTGCCTGAACTCAGGAGGCAGAGGTTGCAGTGAGCTGAGATTGTGCCACTGCACTCCAGACTGGGTGACAGGGTAAGACTCCGTCTCAAAAAGGAAAAAAAAAAAGAGGTCCCACTATTAACAACTTTTGTGTGTGAAACTATAGCTATCATGTATTCCTATAGAGACTTATAATTAAAAAGTTACCTTTAGGTTGTCTTACATGTTTTTTCATCAATTTTGTCTTTTTCTATTTTACTTTTCTTTCCTCACATTCATTCCCTTGAGAAAAGGGGAGACAGATGAGGCACAAGCTTGAGAAAATTAGAAGAAGATTTGATATGAGGGGAGAGAACCAGAGGGAAAAAAGAAAAAGAGTAGGGAAAGCAGGAGAGAGATCATTAGAGAGGAAATGAGAAAGAAAGAAAAAGAAAACCAAAAGCAGGAGAAAAAAAAAAGACACAGAAGGAGAACAAACTTACTTTGAATCTTAAATTCAGGTTATGTTCTAACCACATCAAAAATGGAGTTTGTTTTGCAATGGAGCTTATTGTTGAATTTCACAAGCAGGTTCCCTTTCAGAGGGCTCCATACTTTTTTATTAAGCCTGGGTTTTATAAACAAAGAATGAACCTGGCTGCTTGGGATTCCAAGGAATTTGATTTGTAATATTTAAGAAGAACATGGAAAAGAAAGATGGGTAAGGGTGGGAAGGAAATTTCTCATATTTTATGTGATTTTCCTTTCTCGTCTTTTCTTGAATATCCTTTGTCTCATTTCTTTTCATCTTGGAAAAAATATCAAAGGATTAGAAATAAACCTATAATTTTGGCTGACTGTAAAAAAAAAATTAAAAAGTTAAGGAGAATAAAGCCTAGAAAGGTAAAAACTTAAACTCAAGAGAGGAGAGAAATGAACTCAGATTCAGAGAGACAAATTTAACCTGGGCCCTATATCATGTATAACCTGAGTTTGTTAAAAAGTACATTTAAAGTGCCACTTTATCCCAAAACCTTATGCAGAAAGGAGAAAAAAATATAATTTTCTCAAACTGCTGAGAGTTTGAGAGATGAATTTGAGATCATGGTCCCAAACTAGCATTGTCCAGGAGCTGGGTGAGTGTGAATCAGATGAACTTAATAATGCCAGGAATTTGTTTTGCTACTGTGGGGAGCAGTTATTATTTTGATTTCTACCTAGAATATAAATTAGAATTACAGACTCATTTTTAATTTATACTCCAATTACATTTAATAAAATGAAGGATTAAGATTTGACAAGTCTTTGCTTTTCTTCCAGGGTATTAAAAGTGAGAGTAAAAGTGGGAACAGGTGATTTAGAGGAGCGTGAAAATGGGGAAAGAAATGCTAATCAGGGGAAAAACCGAAAAACAATACAAGCCTAAGTAAGAAAAAAGTGGGGAAAACATGGGAGAAAAAGACAGAAAGAAGTAAGAAATACATAAGAGAAAACAAACAGGGAAAATAATTAATACTTTGAGGAAAACTGCATGCCCATTTTGTATGTTGTACCACCCTTGTAATTTAACAAGCCCACAGTGGAATTTTGCTCCTCATTTACTGTATCTTTGCTTAGCTTCTGATTTCCAAAGCCCCATTTCAATCTGCTTGCTAGGTTGTTAAATATGAGGCCTGGGACTACAAACATGGCAGCTCATAGAATCTTAATTGCCAAAAGGGTCTTGAGACAGCTAATCATGCCCTCCCCCTCCCCTCACCCAGCCAGTTGCACACACTTTTTATAGCTGAAGAAATTGAGGCCCAGAGAGATTAATGGCTATGTAATACAGAATGTGTAGTTAGAACTAAAAGCTAGGTCATTTGATTCTAACTTCAGTGATTCAGAGTTGATTTCTTAAATAGCTGAAGAAATTGAGGCCCAGAGAGATTAATGGCTATGTAATACAGAATGTGTAGTTAGAACTAAAAGCTAGGTCATTTGATTCTAACTTCAGTGATTCAGAGTTGATTTCTTAATCTTTCCCTTTCAAAATTTTTCCAATTCTTTTCCCCAGCTTGTTTCATGAGCTTACTATCACCTAGTCACGGTGTCTCCCAAACTGACATACCCAGTTTTTTAACTCTGGTACCTGCAGGCAGTTAGTTAATAACTCTTATTGACTGTGGATTCATGTCCTTGTTTCCACTGTGATTGCTTCTCACGTGGTTCAAGACTTTGGCACACTTCACCTGACTTTTAGAGTAGCTTCCTAACTGGTCTCCCTACCTCTAGCTTCCTCCAGCTTCTCTTAGAGACTGCAGTCAGAGTAATCATTCTAAAATATAACATTACTGTCGTCATTTCCCTGTCTTTCAGTGGCTCCTCTTTAGCTACCTAACTTCTTAGCATGATCCATTATTTCCATAATTCGGCTCTTGCTTTGCTTTTCAGCCACATCTGTCACTACTCCTAAATTGAACATGCCCAACACTTTCCCATTTGTTTGATTTTGCTCACCTGTTCCCTATATTCAGGCTATCCTTGTTTTCCCCTTTCCTAACTCAAAGACTGCCTTTTTCATACAGTTTCCTTATTTCCTTTCCTAAGCTAAAAATAAGTTCTGGACTTTTCTTTTAAAGTACACCTCTCAGGAGACTGAGGCAGGAGAATTGCCTGAACCCAGGAGGTGAAGGTTGCGGTGAGCCGAGATCGCACCATTGCACTCCAGCCTGGGTAACAAGAGCGAAACTCCATTTCAAAAAAAAATAAATAAAATAAATAAATAAATAAATAAATAAAGTACACCTAACTAACCTACATTCTGGTTTATATTATTTGGGCACGTGTCCTAAGGCCAGGTAACATATCCTGTTATTTTACTGTGTTTTGTTTTTGTTTTTTTGAGACAGCATTCTCACTGTGTTGCGTAGGCTGGAGTGCAGTGGTGTGACCACAGGTCACTACAGCCTTAAACTCCCAGGCTCAAGCCATCCTCCCACCTCAGCATCCCAAGTAGCTGAGACTATAGGCACACACTACTATGCAAGACTATGTCCAGTTCTTTTTAATCCCTCCCACAGCCTACACAGTGCTGCCTATATGATATGTAGGAATCAAATACTGTATGTGCTAGAAAACAGGTAAAATAATTAGTCACATATAGGATAAAGAGAACAGTGTGAATGTTTTACATTAATTTGAAACTCCCATGGCTAATCACATGACTGTATCAGAATGTACACAGAGTGTACTTATTGCATGCAATATTTTTAATAGCAGTAAGGCTGCTAGTAGATTTGCCCTTCCTTTTAGCAACTCAGAGGAAAATATTTGCATCTACTACATATCACTGAAATTTCTACAAATTTAGTGTGATTTCTTTATGAAATACAGTTTAGAGCAGAAGTTAATAGATGAAAATTCTGTACTGCAAAGGAGATTTTGCACTTTTCTCATAAGCTATGATAGCATTTCCTTATAATGTTTTCAGGTTCAATAGTAGCAATTGGAATATAGGTCAAACCACATTATATGAAGCTCATCTGGTACTTATAGACACTAAAGCCCAATGGGGGCTAGCTGCAGTGGCTCATGCCTGTAATCCCAGCACTTTGGGAGGCCAAGGTGGGCAGATCACTTGAGTTCCAGAGTTCAACTAGCCTGGCCAACATGGTGAAACCCTGTCTCTACTAAAAATGCAAAAATTAGCCAGGTGTAGTGGCAGGTGCCTGTAATCCCAGCTACTTGGGAGGCTGAGGCAGGAGAATCACTTGAACCCGGGACGCGGAGGTTACAGTGAGCCGAGATGGTACCACTGCACTCTGGCCTGGGCGAAAGAGCAAGACCCCATCTCAAAAAAAAAAAAAAAAAAAAAAAAAAAAAAAAAAAAAAGCCCAATAGGAAGGCCCAAAGACAATTCCCATTTGTATAAAAACCTATCCAATAATAATTTCCTTTTTTTGTGGGAGTACATATGACTTGTACATATGACTTAAACTGCCTTCAAGTATTTCTTGCTTTTTGAAGTAGTATTTTTTTTTCTCTGCACTTAAGCCAACCTAAATGTTCCTTCCATAGTATTCTTTTATGTGCATGACTGAAGCTGAGGCTTGTTCCATCTCTCAGATTAGAAAGTAACTTAAAGCTGGTTCAACACTCAGCCAAGAGAGAGATTTCACAGGTGCCTATAAGACAACCTCCACATTAAAAGTTCATTACAGGCTAAAGATTCTTAGACATAGCAATATATAAAGAAAGAACATCGGGCTGGGCGTGGTGGCTGATGCCTGTAATCCCAGCACTTTGGGAGGCCGAGGCGGGTGGATCATGAGGTCAAGAGATCGAGACCATCCTGGTCAACATGGTGAAACCCCGTCTCTACTAAAAATACAAAAAATTAGCTGGGCATGGTGGCGCGTACCTGTAATCCCAGCTACTCAGGAGGCTGAGGCAGGAGAATTGCCTGAACCCAGGAGGTAGAGGTTGCGGTGGGCCAAGATCATGCCATTGCACTCCAGCCTGGGTAATAAGAGCGAAACTCTGTCTCAAAAAAAAAAAAAGAAAGAAAGAAAGAACATCACTGCCTCCCCGCCCCCCAATCCCCCACCATAAACAAAAACAAACATTAAATAGGGCCAGGGTGGTGGCTCATTCCTGGAATCCCAGCACTTTGGGAGGCCCAGGCAGGCAGATCACTGGACGTTAGGAGTTTGAGACCAGCCTGGCCAACATGGTATAACCCGTCTATACGAACAATACAAAAATTAGCCAGGCATGGTAGTGAATGCCTGTAATCCCAGCTACTTGGGAGGCTGAGGCAAGAGAATCGCTTGAATCCAGGAGGCAGAGATTGCAGTGAGCAAAGATCGTGCCACTGCCCTCCAGCCTTGGTGACAGAGCGAGACTCTGCCTCACACAAAAACAACAACAAACAAACAAACAAAAACATTAAATAGTATCACCTGGTAGAGGCTAAAGATGTAGGAGGAAAAAAGGGAAGCTGGATAATTTTATATTTACCAAAAATTTACTTGTAGACCATTGCCCTTGAATATCAGAAAGGATCACAGATCTTATGATTGCTGTATTTTGGATTCTGCCTGCAGGACTAGCCTTGGTGTGGTTTATGCCTGATGATTTACATCCAGGGAATTGGGAAACTAAACTCTACCAGTGCAGAAAAAGAAAAGTGAAGTAGTAAAGTACCGTAATGCCTTCCACTTGAAAGATTGCCCGAGGATCGGCTTTGAGAAAGAGTTTCTTCAATGTAGTATTCTCAGAATGGAGCACATTGAAGAAAGAAAATGTATCAGAAAGTCTAGTTGAATTCCTTTGCTCTTAACCACCCTACTCTTCCAGGAACTAGAGATGGCTACTGGATACCAGGGATCATGATAAAACATGTAGTGGAATTTGTTCCATACCTGAAGTGTTTGATTCTGTTCTCAAGCTCCTGTAAAAATAAATAGCACATTTCAAAAATTTGCCAGCATAACCACAAATATTTAGAAAACACTTACTAGATATAAAATAACTGGTCATTCTTTAAATGCTTTGTGGGTAGTGATGAAACATGTTTAGCAAGCCTAGGTCATTACTGATTATAGAACATATGAGAGTAAAATTATCTAAAACTTCTGCAACATGTGGGCTATTCAATCAGTAAAAGCCATAAAAGTTTATTGTATGTAATAATATGTAATCTATTTTTATTTTTATTTATTTTTATTTTTTTATTTTTTATTTATTTTATTTTTTATTTTTTTTTTTTTGAGACAGAGTTTCGCTCTTGTTACCCAGGCTGGAGTGCAATGGCGCGATCTCGGCTCACCGCAACCTCCGCCTCCTGGGTTCAGGCAATTCTCCTGCCTCAGCCTCCTGAGTAGCTGGGATTACAGGCACGTGCCACCACGCCCAGCTAATTTTTTGTATTTTTAGTAGAGACGGGGTTTCACCATGTTGACCAGGATGGTCTCGATCTCTTGACCTCGTGATCCACCTGCCTCGGCCTCCCAAAGTGCTGGGATTACAGGCTTGAGCCACCGCGCCCGGCTGTAATCTATTTTTATTACGTCTATGGCCAGTCACTCCATAGGGCCGCTGGCATCCCCAACACTGCTGCCTCCCTGTCCTTCTCTTATCAGGCTGAGAGAAGTTAACTGCTGCTGCTGAGCCTACAAATAAATAAGGTCAATTATGTTGGGAATAGAAGGTTTCAAAGAGAACTGAGGATAAATTCTGAAATGGTCGGTTAGGAGAAATCACCAACTTCTGGTAGCTTCTTTATCACCAAGTCTGTGGCCTTACTGGGGGTGGTCATGCTTGGGAATATTACAGGTAAATAAAGTACCTTATTTACATTTAATAACATTTCTTATGGTTTATTGGATAAAATAGGAGACTAGCAGTTTTTTTTTTAGAAGATTTCACTTTCAGAAATGTCTTTGGATAAAGAAGCTTATTTTCTGTGCTCCTAATTTTTAAAATTGATAACAATAATTAAAATACTTATTTTCTTAACCTCATTGGCATACTAAAATGTAAACTTAAGTCACATAATTTTCACCAAATTCTTATTTCTTGACACATTTTCAATAAATATTTTGGAAGTATTGAATAAAACAAATAGTTCAGGAAGAATAATTATCTTAGCTATTATCCTCCAAAATAAATGTGCAAAGACATAATTGTGATCCATTTTAAGGGGTCTGGCAAATTCACCCAGTTCAGGTTCTACAATGGATCTTTCAGAAAGTAAATGTTAAAATGGTAATTTTCTATAGAGTTCACAAATAAATATTCATATAGTCTTTATCAAATAGATCTGATTACTTAAGTGAAGGTTAAGCTTGATGATAAAAATTTTCAAGAGGCTGAGAAATATCAAGTAAATGTACCTTGAAAAATAGATGCAAATTAAAATAAAGCCTGCCATTATCCTCTTTAAAACAAAGGAAAGAGCCACGGTGGCACTACTGTCAAGATATGGGAAGAAATACAAATGTTTTATAAGTAAATTCTTCATTTCTAAGGACCTAAAGTGACAGTATAGATAAGTTTAAGTCTCCAACATTTTTCACGCATCTAGATTTAAGATGCTCAATTTACATTTTAAAGACTAGCAGAATATTCAACAAGGTTATTGTTTTGTTTTGTTTTGTTTTGTTTTGTTTTGTTTTTCTGAGACAAGGTCTCCCTCTGTTACCCAGGCTAGAGTACAGTGGCTCTGCTCTATCATGGCTCTCTGCAGCATTGACCTCCCGGCTCAAGCAATCCCTCTGCCTCAGCCTCCTGAGTAACTGGGACCTCAGGTACACTACCATGCCCAAATAATTTTTTTCTTTTTCTTTTTTTGTAGGGACAGGGTCTTGCCATATTTCCCAGGGTGGTCTTAAGCTCCTGAGCCCAAGCAATCCTCCTGCCTAGGTCTCTCAAAGTATTGGAATTACAGGCATGAGCCACTGTACCCAACCTAGTTTTTTATCAGTGTTCCAAAGTACACAGTTATAAAGTGTTACTGAAATCCATGGTCTTGGAAAAGAAAAATAATATATATAACTTATTTATCAATCTCACGAGCATGACTAAATCCTACAAATATCTGCAATACAGCCGTAGTGAATTCCATTCTTTCTTAGAATATTACATCTTTCATTCATAATAACATTCTCAAATTAGACTCTAGCTAGTAGTTATATTCCTGATGCAAATAGGCAATACAAAGAAATCCATGCTTTATTAAATTGGGCTTAAGAGGATTACTTATAACCAAAATTTGTTTTATTTTCTTTTTCTTCATCTATTTATTTCTCTCCAGTAGAGTCTGCTGATAAATGACACAAGGAGCTGAGAAGGGAGGGGTGAGACCTTGAAGAATTTGAAATTTGTTAATTTTTTTTTTTTTTTAGACAGTTTCGCTCTTGTTACCCAGGCTGGAGTGCAATGGCACCATCTCGGCTCACCGCAACCTCCGCCTCCTGGGTTCAGGCAATTCTCCTGCCTCAGCCTCCTGAGTAGCTGGGATTACAGCACGCGCCACCATGCCCAGCTAATTTTTTGTATTTTTAGTAGAGACGGTGTTTCACCATGTTGACCAGGATGGTCTCGATCTCTTGACCTCGTGATCCACCCGCCTTGGCCTCCCAAAGTGCTGGGATTACAGGCGTGAGCCACCGTGCATGGCTGAGATTTGTTAATTCTTAAGATCTTTTATATCTTTGAAATTCCATGATTTTTGCTATTTATTTAGGGATTCATTTTTTCATTGTTTCTAATAATGATCATAATAGTGAGGCTAATGAAACAGTACCTGCTGAGCATTTTTCATCCTAACAAAGTTATTCTTATAATTTTTAATATTTTGAAAAGCAATAGGGGCTAGTATAGAAAAATTCTCAGAGAGTGATGTCAGCAAGATAGATGATTAGAGATGTCCGGCATTCATCCTTCCCCACAAGAAAGAACAGAGGCAGTGAACAAACTGTTAAGATGTGACTGGGGTGTCAAAGGGAGGTCACTAGAGTGCAGCTGACATGTCTGTGGTGATGGAGAAGAGACATGTCTGTGGTGATGGAAAGTCCAGGAGGGCAGTGTGGAGGCACCTATATCACTCATGTGGATTGGATCTGCCCAGAGTCAGGGGAGACTTCTCATAGCAGGAAAAGATAAGCAGAAAAGCCCCAGCAGCCCCTGTTGCTACCAAAAACACCTAAAGTTCTTATAACAGGAGAATCCATAGTCCTCACAAGCCCTGAGCCTAGTTTGGAGAGTTGCTGGGAATTCACACAGCTGCAATGCCTCAGGTTAAGAGCACAAGGTATGCACTCCTAATCCCCAGTCACCACCTGTGAGCAAAGCTACTGCTTGAGACCAGAGCCATCTCTTGAGAGTACCCTGCTCTGGGGGGCCACTGGCCACTGCATCTCTCTAGCCCTAGGGCTCCGTCTTCATCCCACCAAGCCCACACCGGTGGCTGAACACCACACCACCTGTGCAGAACCTGGGCCAGGATCTGCTGTGGCTTTCGTTTTACACAGCAGGGAAACCAACCCTCACGGTTGCACTTCTAGCCATTGGGAGAGTATGGCAGTCTTATCCATGGAGAACCCACCCTTGAGCCAGCCAAATGCTGCATACACACCCTCAAGTAAGAGAGACCCCTGAGCCTCTGAACAGTTGATACAGCCCCAGTCAAGGAGAACGGCTATGTGCCTATGCTTAGGACATGAAGAAACAGTTCCACAGTGCCTCCATCCCTTACAGACATGTTCCTGGCCTGCCCAATGACCCTGCACCCAAAATCAGGGCCTGAGACACAGTCCTGCAGGTTGTTCCTGACAGGCATGCCCCCAGGCCAGCCAAGCAGGCAAGAACCCATGTCCAGGACCAGAGAAACAGTCTTATAAGCCACCCCAGGTGGACATGCTCCAGGCTACCAAGTAGCCCTGTACCCACATATCAACCCTCAGAAATAGCCCACAGGCTTCCACTTCCCCCTGTGGGCATGTCCCTGAGTTGGCCTAGCAGACTTGCATTGCTGTTCCATATTGAGAAACAGCTCTTGGGCCACCCCCAGTAATCATGCCCCCAGATCACCCACACCCAAGCAGCTGTGCATCCACATCCCAGGCCTGAGAAACATCTCTGTGGGCTGCTACTCATAGACAACAACTGTGTGATCATGCTCCTGTCCAAAGTAACAGCTCCATGGCCCCAAACTCAGCAAGCCAGACCCAGGTTGGCCAACCCACTGTGTGCATGTGCCTGTCCCTGACCTGAGACACAGCCTGGTGAGCCCACCCTTGGCAAAGCTGTACCACTGATGCCACAAACTCTCTAAGCCTAGGCTACTGAGAAACTTGCAAATGCTTAAGAAACTACATGGAGATTACACTACTGTATCCATTTAGAACCAAAGCCAACACAACTTACTGAACTGACATGCCAAGACCCATTCATACAAATAAGTCTTTCCCTGTGACACTACTCCATAATATTGGAAGAGGCATTTTTTCCACTAGATGCATAGAACTTAACGTAGGACCATAGAAAACGTGACACTTCCAAAGGAAAACAATAATTCTCGGCTGGGCGCGGTGGCTCAAGCGTGTAATCCCAGCACTTTGGGAGGCCGAGGCGGGTGGATCACGAGGTCAAGAGATCGAGACCATCCTGGTCAACATGGTGAAACCCCGTCTCTACTAAAAATACAAAAAATTAGCTGGGCATGGTGGCGCGTGCCTGTAATCCCAGCTACTCAGGAGGCTGAGGCAGGAGAATTGCCTGAACCCAGGAGGCGGAGGTTGCGGTGAGCCGAGATGGTGCCATTGCACTCCAGCCTGGGTAACAAGAGCGAAACTCCGTCTCAAAAAATAATAATAATAATGATAATTCTCCAGTAACAGACACCAGTAAGAAAATATATGAAATGTCAGAAAAAGAATTTAAAATAAT